GACGATTAAGGGTTAAAAGACATCCCTGCCAAAAATTCCTTGAAACAAAACGCGGCCGGAGTACTGTAGATAATTGGTCAGCTGAAATAAAAAGCGAGGAGAAACTATATATAATTGGTCAAAAAATAAGCGTAAGCTCCTCACACGTAGCACACATGTAACAGGTAGAGAAACCTAACCCACTACCTTGTAACTTGAGGAGACAAAGAGCTGCTGCTTGCCAAAAAATTAAAGATTCCACATAACGGCCCATCATTGGGTGTCTATGTCAAACACCTCTGCCTATAAATAGTTTAACGGTTTCCGCCCAAGTCAGAGAACTCTGGGGATCTCACAGGAAACACCTGTGCTTGTCACCAGAGAGTTTGATTTTTTTGATTGAAATTGATCAATTCCCAATCAATCACCCCGTCAGCGTAAAATATTGACGTAGAAAGTCTTGCAAGCCCGACAGTTCATTCCGGCTCCACGTCCGTCATTATCTCGTTGTAACCTAACTGCGTGTACTCAACTCCGTAACCGAAGCTATATGCGTGTACTCAACTCTGTAACCGCAGCTGTAACAGAACAAAGGCTCGCCTGCGTCGTCATCACTATCTAGGTGACGTAAGTAAACAAACTCCTGTAACCTACACGTGTCTGTGCCTGGTTAATTCCACTCCATCCATCAATTACCCGCCTGCCAAGCTCTAAATCTAAACACTCCGGTGTGAGTCAGACAGCTGCCGGCGGCTGCTCTGATTCACGACATGGCGTCCTGTGACACATTTTGTTGCTCAGAGATCCTTTCTTCCAAGCTCCTAGTAGTTTCAGCTTTGGCAGATATCTCCAAAGCAGGGGCGGGCAATTATTTTGGGCGGAGGGCCACTTACCGAGTTTTGGCAAGTTGTCAAGGGCCACAAAGGTAGCCCCGCCCCTTGACAGGTGCCCCACCCCCTGGTTGCCATCTTGGAACCGGAAGCCCTGCCCCTTAATCCCTGACCTTTGCCACCAGAAGTACCCCCGCCCCCCTGTCCCCCGAAGTACTCCTTTCACCAAGGGGTTTTACCTTCATGGAACTGAAAAATACCAAATTATATTCTAAACATCAAACATCTACTACAACATTCATTAATTTTATTTCAAAAAATATTTTTTGTCCTGATTTTACATGTGTTTATGTAGTGTACATAGAGGTGATTATATAATAGCTTCAAATAAAGTCTTACTCTTGTATAATGTAGGGGCTGTGGGGAATATTGGTGAGTGGGTACAGGTTTGTGGAGGGGCTGTGAGTATGTGAGGTTTGTGGGGGGGATGGATAGGTGCGGGGGTGTGGGTGTGTGTGGGGTGGGGGAGCATGTGGGTGCGTGTGTAGGGTATGGGTGAGTATAGGGTTTGTGGGGGGATGTGAGTGTGTGGGAAGAAGGTGGCTGGGGAGGGTTGTGGTATGCATGGAGGTAGAGAGTTTGCCCACAACCCCCCACGGCTGGCAGAGCCCCTGCCAGCACTCCTCCAAGCCCAGGCTCCACACTCCTGGCCCTGGCGCAGGCCCCGTGTTCCTGCTCACTGCTACTTCCCCCTCCCATCCACCACCGCTGCCCTTTCCTGCTGCTTCTCCCCCCACTAGCTTCTCCAACACCACATCCCAACTGCATGGCCAAGACCTCCAGACACAGCAGGAGCTGGCCGGGCCCAGCCTGCACTGCACAGAGCCAGCTGAGAATTGCG